TTCTTACTCCTCTCAACCTAATCATGCATCTAAAGCTCTTCATTTAATCCATAGTGATGTATGCGGTACATCGAAAATTACAACTCAATTTGGAAAAAGGTGGTTCATAACCATTACCGATGATCACACTCGGATATGTTGGATCTACCTTATGCATGAAAAATCTGATGTTCCTAATATATTTAAATGTTTTTCACAAATGATAGAAATACAATTTGACACAAAAATATTCATTTTGAGAAGTGATAATGACACTGACTATTTTAATAAGAAACTCAAAGAATTCCTTCAAAATAAAGGTATTCAACATCAATCGACATACCCAAACACTTCTCAACAAAATGGAACTACTAAAAGAAAAATAAAACTTCTTGATGTAGCTCATGCCATCATGTTTGAGTGTAATGTTCCAAAGTATTTATGGGGGGAATGTTATCCCAACAACAAACTATCTCATAAATAGAATGTCCACTTGTGTGTTAAATTATCACATGCCTTTAGACACTTTTAAAATCTTCTTTCCATCATGATGATTGCATGTTGATCTGCCTTTAAAAGTGTTTGGTTATACTGTTTTTTTGCATACACCTTTTTACCTCGGTCTAAACTAGACCCAAGAGCGGAAAAATGCATTTTCATTGGTTATTCACCCACCCAAAAAGGTTATAGATGTTTTAATCCCATCACAAGGAAGCTTCATGCTAGCATGGATGTTACCTTCTTGGAACATCAAATTTTTTTTCAAAAAAGTTTCATTCAAGGGAAGAATATGAATGAAGTCAATTTTTTGCATGAACAATTACTCACTCTTGTTTTCAACACTGAGGATACAACTTTAGTTGATCAAATTAATGAATTTAGTAAGAAAAAACATTTTGAAACATATCCTAAAATTGATAAAGGAAACCTTATCCTAGACTTAAGAGGAGCCCAAACAAGGAAAGAAAAAATATCAATTAGAAAAAGAGGTTTGTGTTTAGACTCGAAAATATCCTAAACGAACTAGAAACCAGCCCATCATCTTTACGCCATGCCATCTAGAAACCCCAAAAGATAGTATAGCATAAATACCACAAGATCTTTCAGGTAACACTACAATTCTCACTTTTATTATTGATCTCCCACAACTCTTAGGAAAGGAACCGGAGCCAGCACAAAAAAATACCAAAACCCAGCACAAACCATCCCATTTCCAAATATGTTTCCCATCAAACCTTTCCAAAAATCACCAAGCCTTTACCTCTAAAATTACAAATTTGTTGGTGCTTAGACACATCAAGGAAGCACTAGATTAACCCTTCTGGAAATTAACAGTCTTAGAAGAGTTGGATGCACTTAAGAAGAATGGGACTTGGGAGATTGTAAACTTGCCCCATGATAAAAAACAAGTTAGGTGTAAGTGGGTCTTTACCATTAAGTGCAAAGCTGATGGAAGTGTAGAAAGGTACAAAAATAGATTGGTAGCAAAGGGATTTACCCAAACATTTGGAGTAGATTATGAAGATACTTTTGCTCTAGTTGCTAAACTTAACACTATACAGATTCTTCTATCCCTTTTTGCCAATTTCAACTGGCCTTTACATCAATTGGATGTAAAGAATTCTTTTTTGAACGAGGAACTTGAGGAAGAATTGTTTGTGAGTCTTACCCTAAGGTTTGAGAAAGAACTTGGAAGAAATAAGGTTTGTAGACTAAAGCATGGTTTGAGCTGTTTGGAAATGTGGTAAAAGGGCTTGGTTATATCCAAAGCCAAGCTGATCACACACTTTTCTACAAACATTCAGCAAATGGTAAGATTGCTATTTTAATTGTATATGTGGATGATATTATCTTCACAGGTGATGATTGCTTGGAGATCAAAGAATTGAAGGAAAAACTTTCCAAGGTTTTTGAAATAAAGGAACTTGGCCCATTATTTCCTTGGAATTGAATATGCCAGATCTAAGGGATGTATTTTTATGTACCAGGGTAAGTAATCTGAATCTTCTAAAGGAAACAAGATCACTTGGATGCAAGCTGCTGAAACATCCGTGGAACCCAACATAAAACTACAACTAGCTGAATTTGAAGAAATGGTGGAAAAAGGAAGGTATCAACGATTGGTGAGAAGGCTAATATACCTATCCCACACGTACAAACATATCCTTCGATGTAAGCACAGTAAGTCAGTTTATGCATGCACCGAGACCCAAACATATGAAGGCAGATTTTAGGATCCTAAGATACTTGAAGGGGTCACCTGGTCAAGGGCTCTATAAAAACCATGGCCACCAACATGTACAAGCCTATATTAATGTTGATAGGGCTAGACGTATTACAAACCAAAAATCAACATCAGGGGAGCGTTTGTTTTGGGGTATCATATTGCATTCCTGGGAATCATATTCTCAGGAATATTTCCATTGGAATGTTATTCCCATGTATCTTTATAAGATATGTTTGGTTATATTTTAATATTCCTTGGAATATTTTTCAAAATTTAAAAATAAAAAAAAAATAATTAGAACAGGAAGTTACAAGTGTGTTAAGATGTAACTTCCAATATTCCCATGGGAATATCACATTCTCACACCCTCAACATGGGTATAAAAAAGTAAGAAACATGGTAGGAAGACATTCCCAGGAATGAACAATACCAAGGAACTCAAAACTCATAACAAACATGGGAATATTACATTCCTATCTTCACATTCCCAGGAATCAAATTTTAATCTATGAAACAAATTCCCCCAGATAATTGCACCTTCATTGGAGGAAATCTGGTTAGTTGGAGAAGCAAGAAACAAAGTGTTGTAGCAAGAAGCAGTGCAGAAGCTGAATTTAGAGCAATGGCTCATGAAATTTGTGATGTGTTCTGAGTGGAAAAGGTTCTACAAGAATTGAAGGTTTTTGATTCCGCACCATTAAAGTTATATCGTTACAAGTCTGCAATATGTATTGCACACAACCCAGTCCTACATGATAGGACCAAACACATAAAAGTTGACAAGCACTTCATTAGGGAGAAGAAAGAAAGAGGACAAATTCGTATTACTTATGTTCCCACTCAAGAACAATCAGCAGATATCTTAACCAAAGGATTACCCAAGAAACTCTTTGAGAACATAACTAACAAGCTGTGCATGGAAGACATCTTCAAGCCAGATTGAGGGGGAGTGTTGATATGCTGTTAAAAGAGGATTAAATCTCTATTTGATTCCCTAAAATGTTTTTGTTAATAAGTTTGATTGTGTAACTAATTTGTTTCCTTGTATTGCTAGTAATTACTTTATTTTCTGTATAATTATCTTGTTGCCATTTTTAGTTTAGCTTATTTTAGTTAATTCATTATTGTCATATTTTCTTCCCTTATTTTACGATTTAGTTTCCTTCTTTCACCTAATGTAATTCTCCTTTATAAAAAGGAGGAAAACTTGCACAGATAATTATAAATATTTCATATTTTTCAACTCTACACTATAACTATCTTGTAACTTCTTGAATCTTATCAATTTCAACCGGTTGGTGGCATACTATATAAGTTCATGAATGAAACTGTTGTGATTCAGGAATTGTGTGTATTGTTGTACACATACCAATCTTATTTATAGAGTGAATACAATAAATGATAGAGATACTAATCTCTAATATTATGGAAACTAATCTAATCATATCCCTAATTGATATATATGCTCCAGCTTGAGGGGGAGTGTTACAGATATTGTGAATATATTACAGATATTGTTGTACACATACCAATCTTATTTATAGAGTGAATACAATAAATGATAGAGATACTAATCTCTAATATTATGGAAACTAATCTAATCATATCCCTAATTGATAGTGAGGATAATAGCCCATAATATATGTATCTACAATATCTGTAATATATTCACAATATCTGTAACACTCCCCCTCAAGCTGGAGCATATATATCATATGCACCAAGCTTGTTACAAAT